GTAATTTAATTCTGTCACAAAATTAATACTTTTTTTGTAACATCGTCAATTTTTTCGATCCATCCCTGAATTAAATTCTCTCCAAAACTTTACTTTCTGCGATTCTTATCAATCTTGATCCAAGAATCCTCAGCTCATCCTGTAATTGATCTGAAGGTCTTCCTATGGACCATTTTTATTCTATCTTGGAATCGGTTTACTGTCTCTGGCCCAACGATGGTTTTCCCATTGTTACTTTAACTTCTTCACTAAGGTAGTGGCATCGCAGACAGTTGTGTGTGATCTTAATCCATTCACTGAGCTCCTTACCTTTTCTTGTTTCCAGAATATATCGTTTCATGCCAACTATTTAACGCAACTTTCTGTGTAATGGAGACGAACAGCTGCTCCCTCAAAGGCGAAGTTTACAAACAGACCGAAAGGGAAGACTTGGTTAATCCACTTCCCCTCCCCTCAACCTGCACCGAAAAGTTCATGCAACACTGCGTGGATAAAAATCCTGTCCTGTTTCTAAGGTTTCTTAAAGATGATGTTGCCGCCATTTGCCCAAAAGTTTGAAACAAAGTTTTTTATGTTCTCGATTACCTAATCCCGCAAAACCACGAGTTGACTGTTGAATGAGAAAATAATTTCAGTCTTTCATTTCTTGGTGATTTGCTAATAATTAACCCTGGTAACTGCTATTAGTCGTGGCCTTACGACGCAAGACAGCGCCCAAAAGGTAAAGCGGACAGGTCGCCAAAAGCCACAGATGCTGGGTCTTCATCTTCCATCGCCGCTTCTCCTTTCGGGTCGCGGTCAAATGCTGGGTTTGCAATTTGTCAATAAACTTGTCCATGTACAAACAACCCATATGGTAAAGGAAACGGAAAAATAAAGTTTGTATCCACTGGAATGTCAGTATTCGTATGACGTCGGTTCTGGCGCCGTTGCTTTCATGAAGTTAATGACAGGGAGCTGATCTCCATTCCCATGCCATCAGTCAAGAGTGCCTTGTTTTTAAAACCATAGTCTAGGGCAGCGATGTGCAGACACAGTCTGAACCCCCCGCTGTATCCTCCCAACAGAGCTGTACTCATTTATTAACCTCGGAAGGAAGAAAGACAAGTGACCCAACCGGGGCCTGTACCGGGGAACTCTCGGTTCTGACGCGCTACAGACTGTAAAACCGCCGATATGGCAATTACCCTAACCACTGTGACAACAAGTAGCTCGAAATGGAAAACGTTCTATTCATGAAGGTTACATCGACATATCTACGGTGAATCCGCTATCGGGAAGATGATTTATCGTTTATCATAAACGTAGGCTCACTAACAAATAAATATCCGTTTTACACGGGCACTGGTTACAGGTCTTTAAATACGTTAATAACATTATAAATCAGAAATTGAAATGCAATCCTACCTATGTAAAATTTAAGTTGCAACAATAAGTCTTAATCTCCCTCATAATAATATACGTGAAAAGAAAGTTTTTCGATATTAAGTAACGTTAAAGCAATATATACATTTTAATAAACTTAATTCTCTATTACTTAATTCCGAGAATAACAGTTCTCTAGATTAAGTTTATCTTTTGCCATATACATGCAATGTAACGGCAAGTTTGTAGTCAGTGTGTGTTTCCGATGCTAACCTCTGGATGCGAAACGTGGACTCTATGCTTGAAAGCGATTCATAAACTGCAGGTTAAGCAGTGTAGCACGTAAAAATGTATATTGACAATATAACATGAACAGGTAGGAATACAATTGGATGAACAACGGATAAGTGCACAAACAAGTCAGCAATGTTACTGCTTGAGTGAAGAAGCTAAAAAGGCAGTGAGCACAGGACACCATCGCTGGATCAGCAACACCAGACTCGATTCCAAGAGAGAGTAAACATGGCGTAAATCATTCTGAGAAGCCAAAGCATCAAGCATCATTAATTTGGGTACTCTACCTTTGACTTTACATCAGATGAAGATGACAACAAACGGCCTCCAAGCTGATGGCCTTATTAGCTGGCGATGTCAATTGGATCAAGACAGATAATAATCACAGAAAACAAGTTTATGGCATTCAGTGAGAGGCCTTTATCTAGTAGTAGACTGACCGTTATGTAAACGAAAGTATCACTTAAGGGAAGTAAGGGACATTATCACTCACAGAACAAATGCCAAGCTGGAGAAGCATCTGCGAATGTTCAGAGTGCACAGGTTAAAAGAATTTATAGAAAAGCTCGCCTTACCGGTCGACGCGATTGTAGGCAGCGCGTCTGCACATTCCTACGACCTTGGAATTTATCAGTACGACAAGGACCGGGACCTCCCTCAGGCTAAAGACCACTTACTATCACTGTCTATAAGTAAATCATTTTTGTGCAGTACTTAGTAACAATTATCGATCATTTTAGAATTTCAGTCAGATCCGTTAAATAAACGAATGGTAAAGAAGAACTGTTGGCGATGCATTAGTTCACTGTTAAGATTTACTCGTCTTGCATACGACAAGGGAATCTAAACGTGCT